AAAAAAAAATCTGATTAAAAAGTTGAAAATTTTGATGAAAATTTGCTGAATTTTCGCCAGTTTTGCACAAAGTTTAGGAATTTTATTTGTATGTTATTTGTTGTTAAATAAACCATTTTTTTTATACAAAATTGGCGGAAAAACATTGGAATAAAAATTGTTGCATTTTGGAGATACCCAGCCCTAGTGTATCACTCCATTTTTCCATTTTATCAATTTTTTCTTTTTTTCCTGGGCTTTCATAGCCAATGCATAAATTAAAATTTCTTCCTCCATAATTTCACAATTTCAAAAATGAACACAATAAACCGCTGTCAGCACCTTTTCTAGAACTGACAAGACTGTCAGCAAAACAAGCTTTTGTTAGAGCGCTAGAATAGCGAACAATGACTAGCTGTCATGAAAGTGACTGTGGTGAACTTGTCAGTGTTGCGGAATCGGGCTGTTAATTTAGATTTTTACAATTGCGCAGTATTTTCATACCAACATGGAATTTAATAAAAAGTAAGTGAGTTTTTGTATTTTTGGGTAAAAATGATCTAATTCTACAAACTTTAAAATAGAAGTCGTACCACAAACCGTGAGCAATTTTCGCTGCTAGTTGAGAGAATGAAGCTTAACGGGGATATTGCCAAGAACATGACCAAACAAGCGCCTNCTACAAACTTTAAAATAGAAGTCGTACCACAAACCGTGAGCAATTTTCGCTGCTAGTTGAGAGAATGAAGCTTAACGGGGATATTGCCAAGAACATGACCAAACAATCGCCGGAGGTAGTGTCAGTGTTTTGGTCAACCTTAAGCACAGACTTGAATGCATTGGGACCTCCGGCAAAATCGGTTTCAGAATGGAAGAAGGTATACATAAAATGTGCATATGTAAAATTCAACTTGTTCTATATGGATTTCCTTAATCTTAGGTATGGTCAGATTTTAAGTCTTCAATTTAAAAAAAAAATGTCACACAACAGGAGCCAAATGCAAGCTACAGGTGGAGGTCCAAATGCAGAAATTCCATTGACTGCTTTGGAAGAAGAAGTTGCGCAGCTGATTTGCATTCAAGACACCATAACGGGTGTTTCAGGGCGCAATAATTATGGTGTCCCACAGGAGCCACGCGTAGGCCAAATTGAAAGCACGAACAGCGTGCCAACTAGTGGAGTGACATCAGATGAAAGCATACCTGAAGCAATTTCAGCTACAAGTACTCGACCCCAAAGCAGAGTACAAAAAAAAAGCCAGCTGAAAATGTTGAAAACGCAAATAGATTTACAAAAAAAAATTTCATCAGAAAGTTTCGTCCAGTTTGGTTAAACACAAAAAGCAATTTGTGGTTTTAAATCACAGTTTGAAAAATATTCAAAATACAATGGACAGCATTAATGAGAACGTAGCAGATATGAGTACAACTCTTTCTTTGCTGAAACAAAGAGACACAATTTAGCAATGANCAGAAAGTTTCGTCCAGTTTGGTTAAACACAAAAAGCAATTTGTGGTTTTAAATCACAGTTTGAAAAATATTCAAAATACAATGGACAGCATTAATGAGAACGTAGCAGATATGAGTACAACTCTGAAACATTTAATTGCTGAAACAAAGAGACACAATTAAGCAATGGAACACATATTGAAAGAAAAGACTCGACTAAAACAATAAATTTTAGAGCTGGAGCTACAAAGAATAAACGACAGTCTTATTTAATGCATTTTTAGATACCAACGTTTCCAACTTTGTCATGAAGGCATGTTTTTTGTACTTTTTATTAAAATAAAACATATTTTACAAGAAACTTTGGAGCATATGATTACGCAGAGTAACTGCTTCAGTATAATACCTATCCATTCGTTCAATTTCAGAAAAATTGTTCTCTGAATCCTCAGAATCATTAAAGTTTTCAAGGTATTCATCATGAATATTGTAGTAAATTCGAAGATTATGGAGTGCTGCAGCTACGTTTATAATTTGAATAGCCTTATCAGGAGAATAATGAAGTTGACGTGCTGACAGGAGACACCAATTTTTCCAAACACCAATTGTTCTCTCTACTATGTTACGCCCAGCACTGTGCCATTTGTTGAAACGGCTTTGGGGGGTATTAGGGGCAGGATTTCGAAAAGGAGTTACAAGCCAAGGTGCAAGACCGTATCCTGCGTCCCCTACGAATAAAATGTTCAATTAAAATGAGCTCGTAAATAATAGGAAAATGTTTACCTAATAACCGTAAATTTCTTTTTCCATTTTCGTATNCCATTTGTTGAAACGGCTTTGGGGGGTATTAGGGGCAGGATTTCGAAAAGGAGTTACAAGCCAAGGTGCAAGACCGTATCCTGCGTCCCCTACGAATAAAATGTTCAATTAAAACGAGCTCGTAAATAATAGGAAAATGTTTACCTAATAACCGTAAATTTCTGTTTCCATTTTCGTATTGCGCTTGAAAGTACTGTGATATATCGCTATTAAGCCAAACAGAGGAGTCGTGTGTTGAACCAGGGTACTTCGCGTTAATGTACCTTATGCGCTGTTTGTGATCACAGATCTTAAAACATGTAAAATAAAAACTAAACAAAATGCGTATAAACAGAGTTTTTCTACTTACAACCAGCACATTGGACTATAGAAACCTTTCCTATTGTAAAAAAGATGGGAATTCGCTCCCGAAGGCTTTGCTATCCTAATGTGCGT